GGAATAATTTCCTTGGGGGTGAAAATGATTTATAAGAATATTTTTTTATCTGCAAGCCTTTCAGAAGCTTTCTCACACATGCACCTAGCCCATGAATTGTCTCTGTAATAGAGTTTTTTTTTGAGATATAAATCATTTTGGGAAATCATTTTTTGGGGGTGAAAATGAAGTTGTATATTATAATTTTTTCATCTACCACCCCTTTAAGAGATTTTCTCAGCATATGCTATTTAGCTCATTAATTACTTTCAATACCATATATACAATAATCGGTAAGTGAAAATTCGAAGAAAGGTTTTGGGTTAACTCTTGTTCCTGCGAAATTAATTTAATTAGGGTGGAAAATGATTCTTGCTATAGGGTGCTTATTCTCGTGCATATATATTTATTGTTGCGAGCTGTCGACGCCACTGGTCATTCGGGTATCTTCGGCAAATTGTCCGCTAAATTTTGTCTGCCAACTTCACACCGTTATAAATTTCTAGGATTTTCTAGGATTCTCATATATTCTTGTATTGAAACAAGTTTCTGTGAAGTTTTGAATAAGTTCCATCGTCCTGTTTTGTAAAGGAAAATACAAAATATAAATGTTTAAAGTACTGACCGTATATGGCACTGAGCAGTGTTACATGTTACTACTGAATCTAATGAGTTTTGGAATGATTCGTAAGAAAGCTGATAAATCCACAGTGGTATTCAGGTGCTCGATATGGAAGCTAAGCTTCATTTCACGTTGAGAGCCAAGTCACTCGTGACTGCTTGTGCCGTTAATCTGGATATACTGTAGATGATGGCCTCCTCGCCGTTGGAAAGCTAATGACACTGCTTTCGTCCATCCAATCAGCAGACGGCCAACCGTTTGTTGATTATCTTCAATAATCAACACATTCTAGGCTTCGTTTCTAGGTAGGAAAATGAACAAAATCAGGGTAACGAATTCTCTATCTGAGGTATAAAGTATATCGAAACATGACAGCACAATGTGCCATCTATTACCAAAGCGACCAGCAGCTATCTAATGGAAACTGTGAAGTATCTCAGTTCGCGCTGACAGCCGAGTCACCATTGTGGCCGCTTGATACCTACGATATTATAAAAACTATTTTTGGGAGCAATTTTTCCAATACGGCATGTGGACTATATTTACAAAAAAATCGATAGTAACCATGTAGCAGAGGTAGGTAGACATGACTTGGGGACTAAGTCCTGCATTGGTTCTAGACGACGGTGCCACTTGATGTGGTAGCCTAGAAAAGACTTCGCTCACCCGCAAGCTTGCCAAGATTCAAAGATTGGAGGCACTAGGGATAACTGGTACGATGTGGACAATTCCTTCCGTGGCTGTTGACGTTATTGGAAACGTTTTTTTACACCGAAGCTGCCGCGCAGGCGGAAGCCTAAATGCCAGTGCGCCGCGGCTGGTCCGGTCTGTTAATCCGATTTTTGGACTGCCTAAGGTTAGTCGAACTGGGAAAAGCGGATTGTAACAGATAGTTGTGGATGCACGCGTGGCGGCAGTATGGATGAGAGCTCCAAGGAGTAAAGCCCATTGGCGTAGCGGTAGAAGAGAACTAGATCGCCGCCAGAGAAGACTCCTACA